CAATGTGCACCTTTTTCCTTCGCCTTACGGTGCGTTCAACTCTCGAGACATGCGGTCACGGCCACGAAGCTGACAGAGGTGCAGGAAGGACTTCACAACTTCCAAAAGCGAATCTACGGAGGTTTCGCACTGATTGTGATTACATGGCTCACGGTGTTCTTCTCAATAATTTTCAGCTGCTTTCCGACGCACAAGAATTGGCAAATCTATCCCGACCCAGGGAGTAAGTACGAAAGTAACGTCAGGAGATACACTTGCTTACTTGCTGCCAGATACATGTCAACCTGCGATTTCCAAAGTCAACATTCTCGTCACCGTCGTCTTGAACGTTTTGACCGATCTATATCTTATGAGCATCCCGATCCCGATGCTATGGTTCTCAAAGCTACCCCTGAGGAAGAAGCTGGGACTGATTGTACTATTTTCGGGAGGAATCTTTGTAACGATGGCAGGAATCTTGCGCTGCGTCCTCATTATATCGGTAGGCTACAGTTACATTCTCCATGGTCGGGCCAACCTAATACTTTCTCAGGACCCCGTCAATGGCGCTTCACAAGCAGGATCATGGGCCGTTCGCGAGACTTTCGTCGCGGTTGTCACTACCAACGTTCCCATGATCTTTCCCCTCATCCGCAGGTGGTTTAGCCCCATTTTTGGCACAGTCGTCAGCACCCTACCTCTCAGCAACACGAACAACAAGTACGGCTCAAAAGGACCCAATTTGCCTCAACCCGGAAGCATCAAGCTCGACGACGTACCGGACAGCAAGAATCGCAAAAAGGGACGACAGCCGTTCAGCCAGTACCCAATCACCGAGATCACCGGAACAGGGAGTGAGGAGCATCTGAATCAGCCGCGGAATATCCCACCAATGCCAACATCTGGAGGGATCAGCAAGAACGTGGAGATTACTATTGAAGAGTCCAAGAGGGATAGCAGAAGAGAACTGGATAATAGATCGGAGGATAGTCTTGAGAGGGGGGATGCGTATTTCACGGTTGACGTCAACGGCGGTGGGGACAGGGGAAATGGTATGATGCCAGGAAAGAGTAGACGAGAAAGTTTTAAGGCGCCGGGCAAGAAGAAAAATGGAAGATACTAATATGTATAGATACCAAAGAGCTACAGATAGGCTCCATGTAAGATAAACATGTACAGAACCGCAAGTATTTCACACAGATGCATCACCATGATGTGACGGTCACTAGGTGCAAGAACAAACTGCAATTCTAAACTACTTCGAGCACGACTCTATGAAAGACACTGGACGGAAACATGATCTAACGCTTGAATGTATTTGGAGGCAATTCCAATTTGACCGTTAGTAGAAAGGATAGGCCTGACCACCATGATACGCTCGGCAGTACCCGCAGAACCTCCTCTGTTCTTCCGTCAGCATGTCCCCGTAAAAGTCGGCATCTCGAGGACACGTGCACTCCTCACACCTGCACCTCAAGGAGGCTTCGTTTAGAGGCATTCGTGAAAGACGAGGCATCTCGACACCTTGTCCCTCAGGTAAGTCCGTGTATTGTCTGCGGAGACTAGCACTGCCCGGCCGGCGGTAGGGACGCGGAGCGGAGGCAGGTGGGGATGGCGCGGACGCACGAGGTCTCGGCTCTCCCGCGATCAGGTGTGAGATGTGCTGTTGTATGTCAGCGATTGTCAAATCGGAGACGTGTTGGTCAGGGATGTCGATGTCGAAGATTCCCACGAGCTGCGGCACGTAGCGATGCTGGCCGTCAGGACAAGGCGTTCTTTGAGTCTCGGAGGATTGGATGTCGCGACGACGCTGTCTCGGGGTCGTCGAGGGAGGAGTAGGAATGTGAACCCAGTTGTCTTCCATCTCGAAAATTTCTTGCGGAGTAGAAGAAAGTGTATGAAGATTTTCAGTGCTTGGTCGTACGTCTGGGCTGTGAGATCCTTCCCCCTGTCTGTCCGAAACTGGGGTCGTTGAGCCGCTGTCCGGGGAGGAGAGACCGCGAAAGCCGTTGTAATGTTGCGGGGGTAGAAAGCACGACTCCGACGGGGGGTGGCCGACGAGAAACAGAGATTCGCGTGTCGGCGAGTAAGAGAAGGAAAGTTCTGGCATGTCGTCTGAAAAGAGAGGGCTGAGCTGGCGAGGAGGTCTCAGAGGGGATCTGAGAGGGGGAGACAAGGTAGACGGAGAGGGCGAGCGACGAGCTGAGGTCAAGAAAGGATTTGAGGTCGGAGAAGATAGTTGAGGGTGACGATTGCGGCGATGAGAATGCATTTTGCGTTCTTGCTGTGGTGCTTCGATGCTGGTGCTGAAAATCTTAGTTGTTGTGCGGTAGTAGTTGCCGATGAGCTAGTCAGGGTGTGGATTTTGGTAGAGGTCAACGTGGTTAATAAATGCCAAGTTGAGTGCTTTAAAGGCGGAAGCCGCATCACGACAATTAATTACGTTGAAATCTCTGCCATATTGTGATTCACTGCCCTTTTCATCTCATCTCAAACAGGGAGTGAAAACGAAGGAGCAAACGAGTATCAGATGAGTCTGCTCTGCCTCTGTTTGCTTTTTCACGGAAGATGCGGGAAAAGTTTTTGGCTCCTCAGGTGAACAACTGCAGTTTGTGCAACTAGAAAGTCCGAAACCAGATGAAGCCGGTGAAGCGGGAGCGGCTTTTACTCACGACTTCCATCTTGTGCGATATCTACGTCAGCAGTGCTCAGAAATGCTAGGCCTCTCTACGACTCATTCAAACCCGAAAATAGTAGGTTGCAAACAGAAGATTGCACTCGCAATTTTGGCCATAAGCTGACTGAAATCCTCGTACTTAGGGTGGATGTTTGATCAAGCATGACAAGATCCTATCCATGACAAATCTTGCACCACAATTCTTAACAGGCTAGCTCACATGAACTGACTTCGTCCCCGAGTAATAAAGACAGGCATCTATATGACTTCCTGACATCGCGAAATATGATCAACTTCTACAGAGGAACATTCTTTCTATGTAACGAAGGACTCCTTAGTTGGCATCTTCATTCTGCGCCGCGCAATCCCATGACTGAAATTGAACCTTCGATACCAGTCAAGAAAGTTTCGGCCTGAAAAGTCCACACCGGCCTTTCAATAGTCGTCAGACGGTGGGTCAAACCCGCTGCAAATACTAAGACACACCAATTCAGCATGTTCTGGCTCGAGTTCGGTTGTAAAAACTCTCTCAAGTACCATGATGATTTCCCTGTGAGAATGGGAAACATATGAGTTATTACAGCCGAGCTAATAGGACTATCTTCACTGAAACACAAATTCAATGCCCAGTGTTGAAGTCTTCCATATATTTCGACAGACTTAACAATTCAAGCTGCAAGAGTGTGGTGACGCAGCATGGGATCGCCCTTAAAACATGGCAATTTACGAGTTTGACGATAAAATGATGCATTTAGCGGGGTTTGTGTGCAATGTAAATACCTGATTCCTGTTCACAGGCTGGAATTTGGCGCCGATTTTGGCCTCAATCATGGCGGCAAGCTTATTAACAAGACTGACAGGGGTGTCGCCTTATTTATCCTGCTTCTGCCACCGTTTTTTGTGTCTTTCTCCATCCTCCACCGACCGATTCGAACCTTACCAAAATCAAACAATCGCCATGGAGACCCCGCTGAGCTCTCGACAAATCAGTTATTATAATGTCGTGGAGCCCTATCTCAGTCATGGAAACAAACCAGGAGACAGGGAGTACTTGGCAAACATCCTACAGAACTGGAGTCCTGAGGTCGATCCAGATCATGTCATGGGCTGGGCTTTGCATTATGCAATCTCGAAAAGAGATGATGTGGCAGTCCGGATGATGATCGATTCAGGCGTCAGCGTGACGGTGAGGCAGACTCAAGACCCTGGATTCACACCACTATTTGCCGCGGCACAGTACGGCACACTTGCGATGGCCCGCTTATTTTGGGAGCAAGTTGGTCCCAAGGGGCGATTATTGCCGACGAGGAATTTCAGGCCTGGTCAGCTCACTTGTCTGCGCGTAGCAGCTCGAAACGGCCAAACAGATGTGATGGCTTACTTTCTTGAAGTCTGGGATGGTTGGCAGGATGAGACGGACCGGGCGCTACTCGATGCAGCATCGGCTTGGTGCGATGATACCGTGGCGTTGTTACTGGCGAAGGCTTCATTCGAGCCCAGGGTGGTCCAAGATGCGCTTTGCAAGTCGGTTTCAAGAAGAATGATATTGGCCGAGAACCCAACAAAGCGACCCCCAACCGTCGAGGAACATCTTTGTCAGCAACGACTGGTTTGTCGACTCATCGATGCTGGTGGAAATCCGAATGCGGAAGATTACCTTTCCAATGAGCCCCTCATCAACATCGCCGCCTCGTACAGGGACTGCATCGGTGCTGTGATTGGACTCCTGGAGAAAGGCGCAAACCCGAACCGCTCAGGGCCTCAAGGTAGAACAGCTCTTTACCATCTCTTCAATCAAAGGGAGGGAATTTATCGCCGCAAGCATCATGCGTCAACCGATGCTCTCCGAGTCCTCCTACAACATGGGGCGCTACCCGATTTAGCCGATGATGATGGAGAAACACCGCTTCACGCCGTTGCTAGAAATGGAACCCTCGAGCAGGTAAAGCTATGCGTCTCGCATATCCAAGCAGTGCGTTCAAAGAGAGAGTGTCTTGAGTCACGAAACTCTAGCGGGGAATCGGTATTAGACTGTGCTAAAGCCATGGAGAACGATGAGGTCTCCAATTTTCTATCTAGCCACTTAAGACCAGAAGCATGAGAGCATATCACCTGGGATTTGATTTCTTCATAAGAAGGTAAGTACTGTAGAGTCTCTAGACTGTTACATATTCGTCCACATCTATCTCTTGCGCGACTGGCGTGTATCTCCATCGGTCCCAGTAAAAAGTCGTATTTCCACTACCATTGTTATTCGTGGCGAAAACTCCGATCAAACTTTCTGTGACATTTTGTTTCTATTAGCAAAACGATAGTCTAAAGTAGACCATAAAGCCTGAAGAAATCATGGAAACGCACCCAGAAACCCCCCACTGGTCACGTCCGAACTGGCTTTGCCCATGTCTATGCTCGCACTTGCTCGGTTGCAAGTTGAAGATGCCACGAATTTGTAGTCATTTGCGTCAAGTGCCTCAACTGATAATCGGATGGGACAGCTTACCCAGGCTTTGGGCACCAGTCTCACTACTGTCTCGAGAACTGGGGCGCTTGGTCTTCCGAAAGTAGTTGCCCTCATCCGTAGTCGGGGGTTATTGGAATCTTCTGGCAGCACGACACTCAAGTCAATGTGCTGTTGCTGACTATGAAAAATCGAGATTCCCGCCTCATCTCCCACATTCTTGGGCACAAAGGAAAGATCGACTGAAAAGTTGAATTTGGTGGTTGTCTGCTTTCGGCCGATAAACGTTACGCCATCTCCAGGATCGAAGTGATCTGGGCTCCCCGTCAGGTTGGTTTGTGACGGCAATAGTCGTAGTGAGTTATTGACAATGGTGTACTTTTCCTCGACCTTAGACCTAAAATGAACGAAGTGATGTGGTAAAGAAGTCCCTGGGTTGAAGTTCAGCTCGTCTCTGGTATCGATCAGAAGTCTCTCGTGAGCTGCTGCCGTAGTTCTTGGTAGAGGGCCATGCATGGTGCCACGCACAGGATCGAATACTGGCCAAGAGTCATTCTTCCAAGTCACGGCCGTAAGCACGGTTTCTCGACCCATAGGATAGTTCTCGAGTTCCGGACCTGAGCGTGTCGCTAGCGCAACAGCCCACCAGTTGTCGTTAACATCTCGAAACAGGTCTGCATGTCCGACTGACTGAAAGAGCTCGCCCGATCCTCTATTGGTGAGAACGGGATTCCCAGAATAGCTCTCATATGGCCCATAGAGGTCTTGAGATCGTGCCATGGTAGCGCTGTGGCCGAGACCAGCACCGCCTTCTGCGATAAGAAGGTAAAAGAAGCCGTCTTTCGTGTAAATATGTGGTGCCTCGGGGTTGTTGCCACCAGTGCCCTTCCATATTTCTACCTTGTCACTCGCGTTGCCAGTATTGATGTCTATGACGGAGAGGAAGACTCTGCCCCAGCCAGTGGCCATATAGGCAGTGCCATCCTCCCAGAAAAGATTCGGGTCAATGTGGTTGCTCCCCCCTGAATTGGTGATGGGTAGCGGAATACTCCAAGATGCATCGCTGTAGGGATCTTCGGTGTAAAAAAGGAGGTTATGGACCTTTTCTCTGGGCTGGTAAGTCGCGTAAGTGACAATGATGTAGAATTTGCCATCGCGGTGCCAAATGGTCGGAGCCCAGATGCCGCCGCGCGGATTGCCATTCATGGAAGCGTGGCCTGGGATCTGCTCTGCCCGGTTGAAGGCGTTGCTGGCATGCTCCCAGTGAAGCAGATCTTTACTAGCGTAGACAGGAAGACCTGGGAAGTTCAAGATGGACGAGGTGACGCAAAAGGTGGTGTTGTCTCACTCAGGGACGAAGACACAGCTAGGATCAGCGTGCCATCCTGGAAAGACAGGATTATTGAAAGTGGTGTTGAGACTGCTGATCTGGAATTACAGCATGACAGTCTTGCGTCAGAAGAGCGAGCAATGAAGAAAAAAGCGCAGGGTGAGTCTTCATCTTGCAAGCACATCCGTCGCACGGTAACCAGTTCGAACGCAGAGACACGTCAACGACCGGTGATATTTCAATATATCTTTGTATATTGTCAGACGGGGTTTTGAATATTCATCAAGGTCTCTCAAGAAACTAAAGCGAAGTAGTACATGATGTTACTGCCTAGCAATCTTGAGTCCCTATGCATCACGGTATCAGATGCCTCATGCGACTATGATTGGTGCGCCAAGTTACCTTGATGACGCCGGCCATGTATTATTTGCCGACCTCGGCCTTGCCTCGACAAATGTACACAATAACTGTTCCAAAGCCATCAATTCTCTCAATGTTTTCCCACCAGTCACTTGCGGAAAGGAAGCGGCTGAACGATTGTGCAGGTGTTGTTCGCGATCATTTGTCCCGATTCGGAGAACATTTAGCGGAATTTCGGAGGATTGCCCGCTGATTAGAGAGTTTTTGGAGAAGCTCATCTCAACATGGTATAGACACCATTTGATTTTGTTACCGATTGGGCAACACGGCTCAATGTGGCCGGGTTACTCCGCGCGTGCGGCGTATTCGAGCCAAGGCTACGAGGGGTAAAGGAGAGAGATCGGTTGAACGTCTAGCTGGCGTAGACATCAAAATAGAATCATTGTGTTACTCTTCTTTGAGCAAGAAACATATTTGAAGCAATGTGCGAGTGCGTCTTCAATTCGGTCACGGTCAGTCCCATATAACTGGTGACCCAATAAAAGGTTTGAGATGCGTCATGAATCACGTGAGTTAGAAAAAAAGAAGTACGTGTAGTAAGAACTACAAGTTTACTTCAGGAGTACGGTACGCATGCCGCTCCAAAAGCAGTAGATACCTGGTAGCCGGCTGTGCTATCTTTCGTCATTATCTATTTTTTTTCAGGCTAGGCGGCAAGGAGTCCATTGAACATTGGATTCGCCTATTCGCCTCTAGATGCGATGTGAATTAATGCTATCGCCGTTGAAGACCCCCAGAGTAAGTTGTTTTGACCATCTGCTCAAGTCATGAAGAGTGCCAATCTCTTTCCAATGAAGTAAAAGACCCATAAGACCTTCTCCCACGTTGGCGATCGATGCGGATAACCAGACACCCCAGCGTTTGCAACAATCACCGGCACCCAGTCAGAGTACAACGCCCCATAGGCCATCACACACACTAAGACTGCCGCTGGGGTATATTGCCCTCGCCCCCATGTGCAGCCGGCGAGGATGATGGTGGCGGAAGTCATGCCGGCCAAGCCCCAAAAGAGACCCGTGACAAGCTTCATAGCTGGCTCGGACATTGTCGATGCTGCGATAGAAAACGATCCTGCGAGGCCTGCGATCGCACCAGGTAGGCAAAGTAGAAATATCTGTTTGGCGTGGAAAATGCTGACGAGACCGTAGGTCAGGGATAGAGACAGCTTCATAGCTGCCAGCGCGGCGAACTCCCTGTGGCAATGAAGTGTCAGTTACATTGCGTACTGAATAATGGGCAGGTTTGAATTTTGATGGTACGAACCAAGTATGAACGCAGGTAGCAATGCTGGCGATCGATGCCACTGTTGTCAGAATCAATTTGGCGATACCAAGAAAGATGTTTTGCGGCCCTTGATCTAGTTCGCGCCATGGCAGAAGCGGAGTTCTGCCGCAGGCCAGCATGATGGCGGTGTAATACGTCAAAAGGTGCGAGATGAAACCTGTAACCCCGTAGGGAAGTCCATAGCATTTGATCTCTTTCTCATAACGATTCTCTTCGCTTTCTGTCATTACGCTTGCTTGCGCTGCAACAACACAAATGCAACAAGTGAGCAGAGAAAGCAACAGGGCGTCTGAGTGCATTGTGTATGTGTGTCTTGGTGTTGGTTGCAGGATGATGTTGTTTCTCTTGAGTTCGAAATTGGATGCGGCTCCTGCGGCGATACATATATGCATTTGGTATTGGAAGCCTCAGGTCTAATACATTTACCGGCCCCTGACAACAAAACAACGAGAAGAGCAATTATGATGAAGCAAGCCTGGGTCCTACGAGGTGGCGCGTGGTGTTAGGCGTAATGATCAGTGTTCGCAGGCGTATCAATGAATCAGGCGGCTAATCAAATCTCGGGAAATGCAACCTTCACGGCATCGACGCTTACATGCATTCGAAGGGGGCCATGGGACTTGAAAGGGAGCCGCGCGGTATATACTGATTGAAAACATAATTAGATTCAGCCCCGAAGGCTTTAGGCACTTGCAAGCAGATCAGGCTGGTAGGCAGCCGCCCACCCTCTTCGGGTAGCCTACCCGGCGTGGTCAGCCCACAAAATTGATAAGAACATTAAAACATGGACACTCGAATTTGTATCTTAAAATTTCCAGCTTATGGCATGAAAAGTGCGTAGCGGCATGGTTGCCCACATGCGCAAGTTCGGAAGGGCTACCAATGACATGAGGCTCTTCGATCGGCATGCTGCTGACATGGCTAACAGCGAGACGTTGATCCAGGAGGTTATTTCAGGCTTAAATCTCCAGCCTTAAGCCGGACGATAACAACTATGACTTTGAGGTAGTCGGCTATAATATGCTTCAGGTGAGAGAATCGGCGAACCATGGAACCTTTCCTGTCCCTTCAATAATTGACAGTTGACACCTCGTATCTTCAGCGATTTTTAAGATAATTACGTATCATCTATCTCACCATATAGCCAGCCGTCTGTTTAGTTGGTAACGTATATAAGGGAAGAAGAGGATGTGGCGACCAAGAGACTTTCCCACCGAAAATGAAGGATTCGTCGTTCTCTCGTCTGAGAAGGGTCAAAGTCTGCTTGCCGGAAAACGAGACCAAGTCTTCGCTGGTCCCAACAACAATGTAGGAATATCTCACACAGTTGAACCAATTGTGGCGTAACATGGAGGGCTTATCAGACGTGTTTTACGAGAGAATAAACAGCCAGAAACGACGAACAGAGGTGAACAACACTTTCGAAAGTCTATCAAGATGTCCTTCAGGTTGCATATGGCACTGACATCCTCGCTCATCGATGGAGGTATTTAAATCGGTGCAAGCTGCCCTTCTGAACCGTTACGTGGCAATGGGCCAGGACTAGACACTGTCTTCGTGAGAAGGAATCATCAAGCGGTTTCTTGCTAGAGTTGCTCAATGGAAGCCAGTCCAGGGTGGGCGTATTTGAAGCCTCCCGTCAATCAAATGACGCGTCCGGTCAAAGGAATACTTGGATATTCGACGAATGACGGCGAGGGCAGACGATGACGTTTCAACGCGATGCTCAGACATGAACTTCTCACAATGCCCCTTTTCACTTCTACAGAGACAAAGGTTTCGGCTTTGCACAGCGCGCTGCCTGCCTCTCAGATTCGGAGGACATGCTACATTTGCTCTGGCTTGAGAAATTCACTACCAACCCCCAAGATCGACGTTTTATTGCTCTCCATTCATGTTAAACGCAAAGCTAAACAACCACTCCTGCATCCGCGTATTCATATCTCTATCTCAATCAATTCCGGATAACTCACTAGACTCCTGCAGAGCTATCAGCTGACCACATGCGAGAAAGAACAGACATTGAAGTCCCACTTTGCTCGTCAAAAGAACTAATTAAACTTGCAGACTGGCTGGATAGGTTTCTGAACGGCAAAAGAAATATGCCGGTTTCGATTATCTGTGAAACGAATGGGGACTCGTGCCTGGACATTCCCATCAGGATTCAATACTATCCAGCGTACCTGTTTGAAGTCGTTCGCCAACCAAGGCAATTGCCCCTTCGCCGGAGTACTTGGATAATAAACGAATACCGACGAGGGAGGACGACGACGCCTCGACGAAAACTCCTGTATGAACTCTTGTCACTGCTCCTTCTGATTTCTACAGCATGGAGATACACCTGCAGACTTCCACGGTATGATGCTTGATCTAAATCGCCGCAGCCAAGTCGGATAATGAAGTTCAAGCATTACAATTGACCGCCGACCGCGCGCATTTGGAGAAGGAGGAGGCAGAGCTAGCCGAGGAGCGCAACAAAATCGACCTTTTATTGCTCCCATCAATTATAAAGCCGAACAGCCATCCTTTGCGTCCACGCATGCCATCTTCATCCCAACACATCCCAGGTATGACTCAACCAACCCAGCCGAAATCGCCCCCGGGCCATCACGCGCGGCCATCCCAAACTCATCCACGATCGGACCTCAAAAACGAGCTCCACCGCCGCTCCGCCACCGCCGCGCCGCGCATACCGCCCCACATCGGCCCCTGCATTCGGAGTTAAGACCCCGAGAGCAGAAAATGACGTCACAGCCCTGCGGAAAGAATAGCCCAGGTTATCCCTCGCAACGCAGGGTACAGCCTCAAGCACGTCTGGGCTAGATTGCAAAGAACCAAGGCTAGCCTGCTCACAAACGTCCCAACATGGATCAGAGCTTTGGGATGGTGCGGCGTGATAGTTAACGGTCCTTAGATCACATGCGTCAGCGGCGTCGTCTCCAACACATTAACGCGGGGAAACTTGGGGGCATCAGGTTTTGACCCCGGAACCCCAAACGACTGATTAGATTCACTTGTCAAAAGGCGCGAGGATGTTCATGAGAAGGCCTTATCGATTTTCCAAGTATGCATAGAATAGACAATATGATTACCAAAAATGAGGCCGTTCCATCGCGTCAAAGTAACTCGGTCCCGATCCGAGATGCCAAAAAAACAAATGCCAACCGAGCGG